TGAGTACTAAAAGCAAGTGCTTAATTTCGTTGTATTCAGTCTGTCTTCTTCTACCTCACAGTCACATCTGTAAAAGGCAAGATTGTAATAATGAAAAATAAATGCTCTTTGCTGAATTTATACTCGGTCCCTATGTATATGTAAAAACCATGCATTTCAACAGATAGCAACTTAATCTTTGTATCTATCTAAACCAAGGGCAGTTATGATGATTCAATCAACTTCTACACTAGAAATACCATCATTTAAGTGCTATTTGGCAACCCCTGGTTGCCATGAGACCTTTTTACAGTATTCTAAAAGAACAGCTAAAAAATACAAAAAAAAAAAAAAATCAAATTTGCATTTTTCACACAAAACGGGATTCCTCCAGCTTATGTAATAATATTACATCTGAAAGCTCCTCACACGCTACCAGACTGTTCCCAGAAATGGGGAGACTCAGTCTGTCAGGCATCTACTAAACACATGCAGAAAAACTTCCCTGGTAGAGCTGTATTATCCCATTACCACCAACGTGTAAAGTCTTTTAGAGCTGCCATTTGAGGCCTGATTGCATATGTATCACCACTGGAAGACTTTGGTCTCTATAGAAAAATGAGACAAGCAGCACTATTCACAGCTTCACTTCTTGCACACACTGGAAATTCCTGCATCCAAGTATTTGAAGCGAGAAGTCACAGAAGTTAATTCCCTACAGTATTTTTATGAGGAGTAAGCATTTCTTTAATATTAAGGGAATGTAGATGAAAAGCTTACTGTAAACTGGTGCATACTACATGAAATTGTGGGTGAAATATGGGTAAGCATCAGAAAGACTGGATTCCAATCTCATCTGGCATTCACCCAACTAACTCATTACATTTTACCAGCAGTCCTTCATAAGGTATCACTAATCACAGAACCACAAGATCATTAGGGTTGAAAGGGGTCTCATCCAGTCCAATCCCCTGCCAAGGCAGGCCCACCTAGAGAAGGTTACACAGGAACGTGTCTGGGAGAGTCTGGAATGTCCCCAGAGAGGGAGACTCCACAATGCCCCTGGGCAGCCTGTCCCAGTGTTCTGCCATCCTCAACTTAAGAACTTCTTCCTCGTGTTGAGGTGAAACTTCTCATGTTTCAGTTTATGGCCACTGCTCCTCGTCCTGTCACTGGGCACTACTGAAAGGTCTGGCATCATCCTCCTGGCACTCACCTCTGAGATACGGATGTGGATTTAATGAGATCCCCTCTCAGTCTGCTCTCCTCTAAACTAACCCAGCCCAGCTCCTGCAATCTCTCCTCATAGGATAGATGCTCCAGACCACGATCACCCTTGTGGCCTCTGCTGGACTCTCTCCAGTACCTCCTTGTCTGTCTTGTACTGAGGAGCCCAGCACCAAACACATCTCCAGACGTGGTCTCACAGGGCTTGAGTGAGCCTCAGCCTGCATGGAACATTACAGAGGTGCCACTACAGCTCTGCCCAAGGTGGGATTCAATGGTGTCACTGTGCACAATGACAGATCCTGCTTGTTTTCTGTATTACTAGAATATGAAAGCGATCTAATTGGAATAAAAATAGTTTTCAAGCAAATGCACGTAGAGACACATTTGTATTTTTGCATATAAAGTATTTCCATAGTTTGTTGTTTGTTTTTTTGTTCTTTTTTATGAGCCCTTAAATGGTAGCTATTCATTATAATATAATCACTTTAATGAAGGAAATCCCTCAGGCACAACTGAGAGCTGGGATCCACACTGCATCTACAGCTAGAAAAGCAGCCAAAGAAAATTTAAGAAGAGACTGAAGCCTTGTAACCCATAACAACATTATTAGTTCATTCAGCATGCAAGTATTATTCTACTCAACATTCAGCAACCTTCTAAAGCTCCACTCTAAATTAACACAGAAAGCACTGGTAAGTGTATCTTCACCAACAGGGTAAACCACGTTTGACTCATGCATAGAACATCTTACCTGGAGAAGTTGAAGGCCTTTGCAAGACCTTCAAAAAGGCACCTTTAACACAAGTGATTGATTCTACCAGTCCATAGGCGGTACATCAAATATTAACACGGGAATTGAATTGCTGAGTAAACTCTGAGCTAATTACTACTTCTTACTTTCTAAATATCAAGTAAGCCAGTAAATTCGGATTAGACCGCGTTTTACCAAATTATAACGTGCCTGCTTCCAGGATACATTTTTTTCCTGCTCCAGTAACTACTTAAACCATACCGCTCAAAACAATAAAGACTTCATGGAAATACACTCTGAAAGAGTTTAAAGGCCTGGGAAGAACCAAATTCTACAGTCAAGTAATTTTTGCCATTCCATTCATATTGACCCCGGACCCTTGCCCAGCAAGAGTTTGTTTGGTTTATTGAAAGAAGTAGTGTCCCACAGTAATGCTTATTCTGATATTCCTCATGAAATTGTGTAAAATGTGCAGCACTCCAGACAAGAAAAAAGTGGCAGTTAACTGTGCTTCACCAAAATTGTACTAGTTGGAAAAGTGCTTTTCAAGCGTAGCAGCAAAATATGGGATTTCATAAAGATATTCCCATGGGGAATCCATGGGTTGTTGCAAATACCAAAAGATAAAACTCTGTGGGAGCCTACGTCAATAATTTATTTGTAAGTCACGTATACTTGATGCTAAAATTCCATTTCCATAGAAGAAACTGTTATGTTTCTTTCCTCTAAGAACAGTCCTATTTTCAAGGATACCCTTTTCACTGTATTTTAACTTTGTATGCTGTGCTTGGATTTAAGAAAAACGAGAGCTAGGCACTTATATGTAAGCATACATTTATATTGACATAAGCCTTTAGTTTTTTCTATGGACTTCTTATGGATATACTTTCTCTCAAATGAAAATTTCCAAGTTTGACATGACATATTTTAGACAAATTCACCCCTAAAATGATTTTTCCAAGCAAAACAAACAAGATGAAAAAGCAATATGACTGGGAATTCCCATTATGTGCTCTAATTCTGAATTAAAACCCAGCAGAGTCTCCAGGATTCAAAGGCTATGCTGATTGCCATTTGAAGCTGGAAATGTTTTTTCCACAATGCACAAGTGATGAAGTGCAGGTAAGGCTTAAAGGAAAGTTACCTTATCTGAAGTATCAGATATAGATTACTGCTGGAGTCAGCATGCCACACTAGTTGGATCCATACGCTCTGTTCCGATATGAGGAATTAAGTTTCCCTGATGTCACAAATTGAACAGATAACGCAATCAACATCTCCTTTGAAGTTCACATTGACCAGGTAACCGCGAGAGCGAGTTGGCAGAACTTTACTGAAGTCACTGAAGTGATCTCGCCTCACCCAGATGGAGACTTCAGCTTTGACATTCTACAAAGCGCTGCAGGGTATTTAAGATGCTGAACCTCTAGAGGGATATTTATAAATCAGTGTTTAATCTGTTATGGAAATACAGAGACCCTGCACTTCAGTCTGGAATTCCCCAGATGCGTCAGAGATAGGTCAGAATCGCTGCATATATTCTCTATTGCTGCATATCCTCTGAAGCGTTGAATCTCTCGTGTGCAACAGCTATTAGGCTACTCTGCACTGAGAGGCATCTGGAAGTCCCAGGCAAGTGGCAGGGTCTCAGCTTCCTATCTCTGCACTCCTACTGGGAGCAATCTCCAGGCAGGAAAAGAGGTCTGCCTGAAGGATCAGGTTTGAGCAAGACCAGAAAAGGGGAGAGATCTGTCATAAAGTGTTTGACACTAGTTACTCAGAACCAGTTAACTTGGTATTTAGAACACAAGACTGCATGTGAATGCTGAAGCACTATCGAAGCTGGCTGTTCACTTGAATACAGAATTAGTTTAATAATCCTCTGCTGAAAAAGATGCTGTTCAGAGCTTTATAGTTTATAATGGTTAAACAATACTGAGTCTGCATATGATAAGCTGTAGGACCACGAAGAATTTACTTGAAGGCTAGGCAGTTATAGCTGCTTCTTTGGGACTTTTTGACTAGAGTTATTTATACTATCATTCTATGTGATGCTACAATTGACATGTTTAGAATTGCCCCACTAATTCAAGCTCTTTTAAGCATTTAAGCAGTGGAGGTAACTAAATGATCTTAAAAACAAAAGTAACTTCAAATTAACATCCTGGCTACTTTAGAAACACAGATAAGTATTACAGACTCAAAAACTTTTATCATTTCTAAAAATGTTCATTCTCCTTGGAGATGAAAATACAGTGATTAAAATAGTATTCTTAAAATTAAATAGAATTTTACTCTCACTAAAAATGAAAGAATTGGTGAAAAAGAAAATTGCATGAGGAGAGGGAAATGTCCCACCATTATCAATGCTTTATGGGGAGATACTTGGCATGACTGATAATCACGTAGAGAACTCCAAAACACACTTAGAAGGATACTTAAAAGTTATGACTGGTATTATTAAACGTAAGAAAGTCGGGAGTTTAATTATGCATACAAAGTCCAGCTAATACAAAGATCAATACCATCATATATTGATGACTTAAGCAAAATTAAGTGAAATGTGATAATACTGTAAGCCAAGATTAAAAACCACAAAATACATAAGTATATTACATACTGAGCTACAGCATAACATAACGTGTATCTCAAAAGGCCATTTCATATTCTCATATGTTCAAACATCTCACGATTCTTCTGAAGCAACCAGTCTGCACTTCCTTACCCTCAAGAGCATATATGTCAATGCCTCTGTATAATGCCATAAAGCAGGTGCTGATTTTTTTGTCTGCCTTTTATGGAAAAATTAATGCATTTAGCTGTTTGAATAAACTGCACTTCTTTTATTCTCACGTTAGCTTTACCTATAGCTAATCGCTTTTATCTTTTTTCTCCAGAGACACTTCTGTTTTATTATTGTTGGCAAAAATGGCAGCACTGTGACAATTATGTTCAGATTTGAAACAAACCCTTTTTCTTTCACTCTCTGGGGAGCACTTATGTAAAGTCCCCTGCTCCAACTGAAGTGAAATACACTTACCTTCTGTTGGTGATGTCTTCAGATGTCTGCAGAGCCCCTCTGTTTCCCCATATGTCTCTTTAATTTTTACTACTGCTTCTGTCCCTCGAAGTTCCATGAGGGAGCGCAGTTCTTGCAGTGTGCATCCAAACTCTCCTGCATGGTTGGCCTCATTTCTTTGGTTCTTGGAATAAAAATCGCTATTTGTCATGTCACCCATTGTTGCTGATTATATTGCTCCACTCGTTACAGTTGATAGAATCTTAAAACTGTTTAAAAATTGAAGGAAAGGAATCTTGAATTCCAATCGGAGAAATTAAAAAGAATCCAGTATGTGTCCGGCAAGGACGTGGAGGATGCCTCTGGCGTGCAAGGTGTCCCTGACTGGCTAGTGGTCTGCAGGACGGCTGCTTTCAAGGCTGCAGACCAGCTCCACTCCATTCACCATTGCCCATTATGCTGCACCCAAGCTGTAGAATCTACATGGTCATTTCTTCCTCTGGACCTTTGGGAACAAGCAGAAAGGACTCATTACAAGAGTGAGCAATAACGCTTTACAAAGGTGATATCAAATTTACTCTATTGTTGCAGGTTGAGTTGTCTTTTAAGAAAAGCTATGCAGAACTGCTGTAGAGATCTGTTAAGTGCTGCGGGGAGTCAGAGCAAGGATAACACTAGCTCTGTTGTACATGAAGCTCTCTGAGGCTGAAGCTAAATGAGATGGCTTATGAATATTAATAAGAAACCAATTAGTCCAGCATGCTAGATGCACCTCCAGTATATGCTCTGGTTCATACAGCCACATCAACCTTTGACAAGAACAAAGACTCGCTCATAAGGGCTACAAGGTAACCAAAATTAGTTAAACACTACTAGTTTTCATAACAGGTTAAAGCACAGCTGGTTTTCAGTGCAAGGACAGTAAAACTGGTGGAAAACCTAGAACCACTGTTACGAATTCAGAGCACATTTACATACATTACTCCTGGCAGCATGGCCTCCTGTGAAAGCAAGCAGAGCCCAGGACAGAGATGCCACGCCTGAGGGTCCTGCCTGAACATCCAGTGCTATGCTCCATGTCATGGCACTGCCTCCTGTCAGCCCAGCACCAACACAGCTTCACCCCACAGCAGGGATAAACACACACCCCAACACACACGCAGTGTTGAACAAACCACATTTGGATCATCTGGGAGACAGCCGATGACTTGCCAAAACCAGCCTTTAAAAGCAGTTCCTAAGTTCTAATGAAGTCGGTTTAAACACTGCTAAAACCAGCTATTACATTTGGCACAGAGTTTTAACAGAGATTAAATGTTTCTTTTTTGCTTCAAGCGGGTTAGTGGGAGTGCACTGTCTGATTTATAGGTCTCAGAATAGTTTTTCATAATAAAGATCTTTACAAAAGCATACTATCAGTTTGTCTGATAATGACTGACAAGCCTGTCATAGTCAATGTACATATTTTGAACACTCTAGGTACAGCAATGCACAGTGGAAATGAGTACACACATAAAAGGTGTATACAGGATGCTAAAGTGTTTAAAGTCCCAATTTTGTATTTTGTAACAATTTTAACCTCCCTCCCACATATTAGTTAACATAACACATAGGCTTGGTCTTTCCACTGCTCTAACTGTGCCGTCCTTGGTCCACATGTGAGGAAGGTCAGGTCCACTGCATGCATTAGTTCCTCTCTGCCAGCGCTGGTATCTGCTGTGGAGCTGCCTAATGCACCTTGCTCAATCAGACAAACTGAACCTCTACCAGCCCTCTCATTCACAGAGGAAAAACTCAACATTCCTTTGATTTCTCTGGAGGAAGGAAAAGAAGGAGGGTGGGGAGGAGGGATGAAGGACCAGTTTTAACACAATATTACAGATGCAATTAAAACAGCAGGCAACTGCTACACGCTTTGTCTACCTGTCCTATTTATTGACATATATTCCAATGCCAAGAAGTGCCAACATTGATTTGATGTCTTGCTTTTCAAGTTCACAACAAGAGAACAATTTCTGCACAAAATGTGGCTTACAGCGAGCAACAAAGAACTGGAAGTAGTAATTAAAAAGGGCCTTTACTTGCCTAGCTATAGCCAAGAAGGTGATATTCTGCTCTGCCAACAACACTCAGCTTTCCATGCTTGCATGCTGAATTCACAGCATCAATTCATTTTTAGACAATTCCCTATAAAGCAAACATAAAAGACCTGACTATTGCTTTATCTGTCTTTAAACCAGATGGATCTGTATTCTGAATAGGAATAACATCAGCCTGGAGCATTGTTTTGAAGGAACTGCAGGACAGAGATAGCACACATACCCAGTAAAACAGACTCCGTCCCAGGAGCACTGCAGCACCACAACCTCCACTGATGATATGCCCTCCCTTCCCCAAAATGATGATTTCAGACTCTTTGTGGCTTCATCTATGATAAGATGCTGCCGACAGTCACATTAAAAAGCAGATTCAGATTTGACCATGGAAAAGGATACCCAGAAAAAAAGGCTGTGAAAAAATGTGGCATCAATAATAATTATAATGAATAGCTAAAGTAACAGACTGGTGTTTACTTCCAGTAAAGGAATCTATTCCTTAGATAAGTACACATCAAGCTCTTGAACACAGGACATGGAAAACAGCCACCATGTTAAAAATGCAAACATGCCACTCTCCTAACAGAGAATTTACTGGGCTCTGCTAGTCCTGTGGGGTTTTAAACATTCCTCTAAAAAATGAAACTGCTCTAAAGAGCATTTGCCAAGGAGAGCCATTACAGATGCAAAGGGCACTGAACTCAATGTCAAAGATGTTTTCTACATGATTTTTCTGTGGAATGCACCCACCACCCTCAATCAAATCATCTCTTTTGACTCACTGTGCCATCACTACACATTAATATATTTGCTTCTATTTTTAGAAATTCACTGTCATTTGTCTGCCACAGCAAGACAGGTTTGCTGCTTTTTAGCATGACTCATCTGCCTGCTTAATTTTTAATTTCACCTTCAATTAAATATTAATCTATAAACAAATATGAAGTTCACACTTCCTTCACTCTGAGTTTGTGCTCTTTGCATTCACCTAGCATTCCAACACCAGGGAAACACCATCTCCTGGTTTTGAAAGGCAGATGACAAAATATAGAAAGCACAAGGCATGACTAACATTATTCACTGATAATGCATCTCTCATCCCCTGGAATGGGATATGGAGGTGTCACTCGATCCTTGAATCTCTCTTATGAGAAGCCCAGGAACCTTGCCAGGGAGCACATCAGGTGAGCATCACTGACACATGACCATCTCTCCCTTCCCCAGTGGTTAATATTCCTTTAACAAAGGCTGAGAAGAAGAAAACTGGAGACTGGCATATGGCTGTACTACCCCACCAGTAGGGTTCAGGCTTTGCATCTCTCAAATAGATCAGATTAATACAAGTGGGTGAAATTTAGTGTCTTCTCTACAAGAAATCCAAGTATTGCATTAGGTTTGGGAAAGTTCAGCACCCCCAAATCCTGAGAGTGCAGCCTCTGACACCATCCTAGCACACGACCATTTCCTCTTCGATTAGGCGTATGTGGTCTCACCATTCCCTGTGACAAGAGTTTATAGGGAAAACAGTCCTCCATGCACATGCTCAGCAAAAGAGAAATAAGAACTCCAGTAACTGAAAAAATAATTTCACATACGATGTCACACTGTTCTTCCAGACAAAAGCAGTAGCTTTTAATAAAGCCGATTTCTTCTTATTTCTCTTACTAATGCTTCTGAAACAAGATTTAGAAACATGAAATTTAGGTTAAAAGGTTCCTAAAGTGCAGCATGCTGTGGGCAGAAAGATAAAATAGCAGCCTGTCTAGATCCACTCCAGGTACCAAAAAGTTTAATGTACTAGAAAGCCTGAGTAAAACACTGCTCTCTTTTTTGTCATTTAAAAGTCAGAATTCAAGTCTTCACCTTGGTCTAAGATTCTGTTTGGCAAAGATGTTGCAGATTTTTGTGCACAAATGCATTACAAACTCAAGTTATTTTGCTGGTTTGGTTTTTTTCCTCAGTGTCTGTGTCTTGGGGAATAGGCTTCCAGTCCTGTAGAGCCCAAGTCAAATATTTTTAATCTTCTAGCTGCTTAAAGGAAATGCATGCCAATTAAAACAGAAGCAATTTGGATGAGCTAACTACAGGCCTGCTGGGAAAACCAGTCTTTGATTTCCCTAATCAGGAAAAGTCTCATCTTGGAAGCTTGTAAATATTTTCACAGTGTGTCAGAATGACTTCTGAGTAGATACCATCACCACAACGCATTGATGCTGACTCCCCAAATTCAGGATATACTCATAATTCAATTGTTTCTTCTAAACTGTCATCTCAGATTATGCTAACTCTGATCTCAAATCCAATGATGAAGGGATCTCTTGCATTACACAGGGAAGGATGGAAAGGGAATCACTTCTTTACAAATTGGCAGAGGCACAGCCAGGTCCAAAGGCCAGGGCAGAGCAATTAGCAAAGCCTAGGTACTGTTCACTCCTCGTGCAGCTGGGCAGAAGGCATGCAGATTGGGTTCCTCATGAATGAAAGGAAGGAAATTAGCAGTTCCCACCTTCTGTATGTAGCATTACTGTCCCACTTGCATTAGTGTTTGACTATATATATAATGATAGCTGGTGCCTTGGGACCTATAGAAAAACCCCAAAGTAAGGGGGGGAAAAAGCACAGGAAATGTCACATCTTAGTGAGTAGCAGATGTTTAACCAGATTCATCTCTATTCATTTCATTAGAGATACCATTCCTTGAGAAAACAGGGCTGGAAGCAGATTTAAGGAAATCTTCTCTTGAGTCTGAGCAAAATCACCTGAGAGAGGCTTTTTGAGACCACAGATCTCAAACTCTGATGAGAGCTGTGGATGGAAAATAATGAACTCATGGCAGACCTTTTCAGGGTGAAAACTGCTGAGAAAGAAAACCATAACCAGCTCTGGAGAAGTCTCCAGATGTGCAAAATAAATTAAGTTTGGCCCAGTTGTACCACCTTTTACTATTTCTGTTCTTTTCATGTCAAGCACAAAATGCCCATCCTCTTGTGAATATAATCTTTGCAGACCAGAATGGGAAACGGATTGTCTATCCAAGCAGCCAGTGAAGCTAATCAAACACACCTACAGATGCTCAAACTCACACTCTCTTAAAACAAATACTGACTTTGAAGTTTAATTATCAGGAATGCACAAGATGCAGAAGGAACTAAGGAAAAACACTGCTTGAATAAAAGCAGGTTGGCACCTTCACAAGTGTGAAATTTGTGTTTAATACCAGGAAGCTAAGAGTAGATAAAAAAGGAGAAACTGAACTTTGTAGCTTAGTGTTGTCTGAAAATAACCTGACTTCATCATTACATTTATTAATGAATTTCAAGTCACGTTTAGTTAGCGTGCACATAATTCAATCATGACTGTGAGGGTGCTGAGGCGCTGGCACAGGGTGCCCAGAGAAGCTGCGGCTGCC